ACGATCTCGCCATCGCCTAGCTCGGGGAACTTGTTGTCGTGAAGGCGAGGAATTTTGACCGGGTCGCAAGGGTCACAGTGGGACTTCATCAAACTAAGACGGGGTCCCTCTGTCACTTCTAGCTCAGATAGCATCGCCTCATGATGGCGGCGCCATTCGCGATTGATGGACTCCCACTTCTCTTCGGTGAGCTTGTAGATCGTGGAAGTAACCCCATAATGTTCGCCAGTCCGCACGAGATGGCGCATGAAGTTGCACTGAGCCAGGTCCCAATCTGCGCGCAGCTGCCCAAACGTTCCCAGGTCACAGGTCTCGGGTACATAAGGCTCCGGCTGGATGGTAAAGTTGGCATGACCGAGTCTGTTCGCCCACTCGTCATTTGGGTCGGAGAGCGTGAATGGAGGCGCATCTCCCGAAACAGTCCGCACTGTACTGGCTCGTGGACGATTGAACGATGCGACAGATGGCTTGGACGAGAGGGGTGGTGAAGGTAATCCTGCTAATCGCAGATCGGCGACAGCGCTGCAGACAACTGGGCCGTCATCTACCATATTGTCGGCTACTGAAGGGGATTGTAACGGAGAATGGACGCGAGACGCGGTCTGGTAGGATGATTCGTCGCCCATGAACGGTGGCAGTAGGGGAGTCGTTGCTTGAGGGGCCGAATCCTCATCCTGGCTGTACCGGTTGGCTTTGCTGATATCAATAGGTTGCGTACCGGCTTCGCTGATGGCCTCCTCAAAGATAGTCCTGGCGGGTGATGGAGGAACCTGGATCGAATTGACGCGAGTGAAAGAACCCGTAGTGGGACTGGCTATGGCGGATGATGCTGAATTAGTGCGGGAACGCAGCTGTGTTGCGAATACATCTGCACCGTCCGGGCCATCGGAGGCACGTTTGGACTTCCAGCGAGTGGAGATGGTGGAGATTCGGGAGCCGATGCGCGAAAGACCCCGGGCGGAGATACTATCAGAGCGTCGATTCCTGGGCGAATGTGCAAGATCCATGCCGGCATCCGTTAGGTCGTAGCTGTCAGAAGCATCGAGAGAAGCGTAGTATGAATCCTCGGCGACCGAGAGACCTTGGTCAAAGTGTTCTGTGGACAGGAATCGATTAGCGAACGAGGAGACGGATATCGGAGAATAAAGCAGGAGAAAAGGAGAAGGCACGGGGGCTGGGAGCAAGGGCAAGTAACATACGGAAATAATCCTCCTCGAGGTCCCTGGGCTGAGACCCACAGGGTTCTTCCTTCACTCCTGTCAAGGGATTCCGCGACGGGCTCTCCATCGAGTTTCCGTGTCCTGGGGATGAAACCAGGGACGAAACCGAGCTGGAAAAACGCGTGTGGCCCTTGGCAGAGAAAAGAGACACAGCGGGTGAAACAGGCGTGGAGGAGGTGGTGGTCCAGGGCGACGGAGGCTGGCGAGATGACGGGGACGACTCAGCCATGGTTTCAAAACTATCGCGCCGTCTGGTATCTAGAAACTGGGCGGGTTTTAACATGATGGACAAGTCAAGACTACTAGCGTGGTAGTCAGGCTGGCGGTGACTGAAGATCGCGCAGATGGTGAGGCTTCCACTTCACGTGCCGGAACAGGGCGAAACGGACGTGAGGAGGAACAACGCGAAACGCAGGGGAGGACAGAACGGAGTCAATTTGAAGGCGGACGGAACATCATCCGGTGTTCGATTAAATGCCCAGACCGGCGGGGGGAGAGGTTCTTTTTCTTTTTTGTTTGTTTGTTTGAACTACCAAGAAAAGGCGGTTCAAAGAAGTGAGAGGGGAGAGAGGGAGAAGGAAAAAGAAAGGACGATCGATCGGACCAAAGAGATGCCACGAGCCCCGGGAAGAGCGCCTTTATTGTTCACGAGGAACGAAGTTGGTCTGTGACGACGTGGCGTGGCGGTGGAATCGCGAGATTGCCTTGCAGTAACAGAAGCAGCGACAGGCTCTGATGAACAGAGAAGAGATGGAGAAAGCGCAACTGACTGGCTTTCTGACTGACGCTGACTGCTTGAGATTGATTATTGACTGACAGGCTTGGCCCGGATTGAAGAAGTACGGCCTGAAGGAAGGAGACGCTGAGAATCCGTCCGCGCTGGTAGGGCAGGCAAGACGTGGAGCCTGTCGCAGCACCCAGTCAACGAACAACTGGCCGGGATTGTTCGTGAGGCCCAAAAGGACGCGGCTGACAGCTCAGTGGGCCGCAGTCAATCGGAGGCTGATGATTGCGGTGAGGTTACAGGATCCGACTCAAGGGGGGGGAGGTTGGAGGTAGACAGGGAGGATATCGAAGGAATGCTTGCGGAGGGGAGAGAAGAAAGGGTGTTTTAGGAATCTAGGAAATAGGAATAGGATGAGAAGATATGATGTGAGAGGATAGAGTAAGAGAAGAGAAGAAGAGTCGAGTAACTGATGAGGGGGCGAGAAGAGGGGAAGGATGAGGAGAAGAGGAAAAAGAGGAGGCGATGAGAATGAAAGAGATCTGGGAGCACAGACAAAGCACGTATAGGCAAATATCAACAATAACAACAATGTCTACAACCCAGCGCAAGAGTGTGAGCGAGCGAGAGAGAGAATGCGTGTGTGTGTGTGTGTGTGTGTGTGTGTGTGTCAGGAATGTTGCTTCATTATTGATAGCTAATATTCTACACGCCGCGATGCGATGAAAATCTTCTTGTGACACTTGACAAATTAGACCGGTTTTTTCTTTTTTTTGACAGCATCCAGTCGACCTTTTTCCTTTAGAACGTTGCCCCAGTTGATCCATTGGATCGCAGTCTTAGCCCATCGTCACTAAATTCTCCTTCTATCGGAGCTATCTAGCCTGCTGACTGGGCCCAATTTTTCCCTGTCGACCCAGCCATCTGACAGGCCAGTTTTAGGGCTGTCGATGGGCAAAAAATAGAAAAAAGAAAAGGAAACAGGGAAAAGATTTTAGAGAGGAGAAAAACCAGAACCACAGGCTGAAACCACAGAACCAGAGGAACCAGTTAACCACAGTCAGGATGATCGTCGGGTTTACACTAACTTAGACAGGCCTGTGAGGGCTCCGTTTCGCTCCGTGGCTGGGGAACCATGGATCGGGCCTCAGTGGCCATGGCTCGCAATTGTTCTTTGGGCTTCTGTGGCCATCGTGGGTCGGAGAAGACACGCGGTCGAATGGCTACTCCGGTAAGTAGTAAGTCGGTAGTAGTGGTAGTGTTCCGTATGTACTAATCCGCGAGCAGCTCGGCAACTGAGTCGACTGGGATGGTTCAAATAAGGACTTGCATCGAATGATGAATCCCAATTTGCAGTTGTGAGTTGGTGTAGTGTGTGTGGGTATGGATGGTGAATGTCTGAATCCTCCCTCAGACAGGTTTCAACGGCTGCACATCGGCGCCGTCTCCAACACAGCAAGCGAGGATGGAGACGGACAGAGAAGCCGGACGAACAAGGGAACCCAGCGAGGGTAGTGGGGACTGGAGAGGAAGTTGTCTAGACTCTGACCGACTCGACTGGTCCAACACAGAGCATCCCCCCATCGGATAGACAGAGCTCCATTCCTTTACTGCTTGTGAACGCGCTGTGCGACCCCTCAACCCCGTCGTCATACCCCTTCAGGGACCAAGTAGAGTCCCCGAAAGTACGACGACCTATCAACCATCCTCTCCCACATTATAGATTTGACATCGGACCAGTCCCGACGGAACAGCAGGTTGGAATAAAAGGGAGGGAAGACAGCAGGGGGTGTGGGAATGAATAGTTTGCAGTGGCCGGAGCTGTTGTGCTTCAATGCGTGAGGGAACACAAGAGAGATTGAGAATCTCGCCGTGGCACTGCTTGGGTACTGGACCGCGCCCCCAGTTCTGATGATGATGATATTATTATTTTCTACCTTCCTTGTTATGATGACTATTGTTTCTATACCAACTAACTAGTAAACTTCCTACTATACAGTAGAGAGCGAGAGCCAAGTCAGCGGTGGGGACGAGGTAGAACAAGAATGGGATCCCTCAACTTGCCTTCTACAGTAAGTTCTGATTAGTTGATTCTCTTCTCTCTGTGTGTGTGTGTGAGAATGTGAGCATTCAAAGGTCTGGTGCCGACGTCAGATCCACATGGCTTCAGCGCCAACCGACCGGGAACCTTGCCTCCCTCAACTCTGATGTTCTCTTCCTTGGTTCAGTCCAGCTCGACCGCATCAAGAATGCTATTCGAGCGGGTGGAAGTCCGGCGCTGTTCCGCGGAAAACTCCAACGGTAAGGGATCTTGGCGCCATGCTTTGTGAGCAACTGAGCATATCTGTTGACGGCCGGCAATGACGGTCGGGATGTTTTGTTAGTTGCCGCCTGTTCCAATCCTTCAGTACTTCATTCTCAAAGATGCATGATGGCAATCGGACAAAAAGTGCTGTGTAGTTGTGTTCCGTACACTGCGGAAGAAAGGCATTTCCAGGGACGTCATTCTGCCAATTCTCGAGGAGATTTAGGTATTCTTGACGAGTCGGCCGACTGCAGAAGTTAATTGAGCGGATCGTTTCTATTTCCAGTTGATTCTACATCATGATGTTGGTTGGTGGAGCACCAGTCCAAGCAGGACCCTTCGTTGCTCTTCTGTGCATCTAGCAAGTAAAAGTGCTGTGTAGTGTGTATATGCATCATGGTGCATTCTTCTGTATCCTGCTGGTGATCTATACAACGATTCATCTTACAGATAGATCCATTTACTTAGAAGGAATGGCGTGACCAGACACTAATCCCCAATTAGGCAGGTCCAGACCGACTGACTCACTCCTGCCTTAATGCTGCCTGTATCCTCAGGCAGAAATGGCTTATCTCCAAATCGCGCTTCAATCAATCCTGCATTCCATTGACTCCTCATCCCAGCATCACAAAACAATTCTTCCCCATCCCTGTCCCCCTCGACAGTCTCCCTCTCATCAGCCAATTGACCTCCATCCTTCATCCAGGGAATGCCTTTACCCTTTCCCACTCACCCTTAGCCACTTAGAACCATGAAATCCCCCATCTCTCTTCTCGCGGCCGTCGGCGTAGCCTCGGCTGCCTCCCCGCAGACCCTCTTGTCCCTCGCCTCCACCGCGTCCGACATCATCGACGCTTCGCCTTTCCTCTCATTCCACCGCGACATCGTCCAGATCCCCTCCGTCTCTGGTAACGAGACGGCCGTAGGCACCTTCGTGGCGGAATTCCTCGAATCGCACAACTTCACCGTCATCAAGCAGCCCGTCCCCTCATCCTCCAAAGGCGACCCCAACCGCTTCAACATCTTCGCCTACCCATCCACCTCGCCTTCCCAAGACCGCCCTGAGATCCTCCTGACCAGCCACATCGACACCGTACCCCCCTTCATCCCCTATGGGCTCCACGATGACGCAAACAACAACTCCAACATCCTCATCTCCGGCCGCGGCACCGTAGACGCCAAAGCCAGCGTCGCCGCCCAGATCTTCGCCGTCCTCGATACCCTCGAATCCAACCCATCCGCCAGCCTAGGCCTCCTCTTCGTTGTCGACGAAGAAGTCGGTGGCCTCGGCATGCGCACCTTCTCCGACAACTCCACTCTCAATCCTTCCCCGTCCCCCTACCATACCGTCATCTTCGGTGAACCCACCGAGCAGGCCCTCGTCGCCGGCCACAAAGGCATGCTGGAGTTCCCCATCATTGCAACTGGCCAAGCCGCTCACTCGGGATACCCCTGGCTCGGTAGCAGCGCCATCTCCGCCCTCTTGCCCGCTCTATCGCGGGTTGATCGTCTAGGCAAGATCCCAGAAGCGGAGGGCGGACTTCCCGCGAGCGATAAATACGGCGAAACGACCGTGAACATTGGGCGCGTGGACGCTGGTGTCGCGGCCAACGTAGTGCCCTCGTCCGCGATCGCTGAAGTGGCGATCCGTCTGGCGGCGGGCACGCCCGACGAGGCGAGGGACATTGTTGCACGTGCGGTGAGAAATGCCACTGGTGGTGATGAGCATGTGTACTGCGATTTTGCTGCGTATTCTGGTGGGTACGCACCTCAGGACCTGGACACAGACGTCCCCGGATTCGAGATCACCACGGTGAACTATGGTACGGATGTGCCGAACCTGAAGGTCTCCGAGGGAGTCAAGCGCTATCTGTATGGCCCGGGTAGTATCCATGTTGCGCATGGTGATAATGAGGCTATCACTGTCGGACAATTGGAGGAGGCGGTCCGTGGGTACAAGCGGCTCATCGAGGCTGCTGTGCAGCGGGCTCGCAGGAATTAAATGTTGACCAGCTAGCCATTAACTAGCCGGCTAGCCACGACGTGTACATATAACGAGGAAACGATAACGATTGTTTCTCTCCGCTTACTACTAGTACGTAATCTGTACATAGTATATATACACCCACAGGGAAGTTTAATATATGTACCAGAGGATCTATCGTACAGACAGACATTCAATGCGAAGCCAAGTCATGAAAGAGCAAATCCTACTACTAGTAATAACACTAGTAGTAATATTAGTTATATAAAGCCAAAATCGGTAGATAATGAAAGTGAGTAGACGAATAAACCCAAGTGCCTGCCTCGGATGATGCAACAAGCCAGAATGCAGGAGCAATATGTACTAACAGTACTTAAGTATAGAAAGCAAAGCATCAGACAGAAACAAGAGGCGATAAATCAATTCACGGCATATTTCTTTTATATTGAAAAAAAAGACCCAAGGAAACGTAGTCCAAGAGTTATATAAGAGCAAAAAAAGAAAATAGATAGTCAAAAGAAATTTATACCGACTCCTCCACTTCCTCACTAGATGTCGTTATCGTCCGACTCTTCCTCATCCATCCTGTTTTCAACTCGCCCGTCGGCTTGAACCGCGGGAGAGGGTGTGCTTCTGTGTTAAAGACATGTTCTTCCAGAGAGATGAAGTCGCGGTCCGAGAAGAGCAGGTAGAAGTATTTGAGCGTCTCTGCCATCCAGAAACTCTCCATGTTGTCACGCTTCACTGGGGGGTCGTCATCGGCGTTTGAGAGTGAGGTGAAGCCGGTGATTTTCTGGGGTTTCGACTTCTGTCGGGTTCCGTCGTCTTCTTCTGTCTCCGACGATGATGTTGAGCTGGATGTGTCTTCTTTGCTGAGTTCATCAACAGGGATGTCCTCGACCACGGCGGTGTGCTTGACGAAGGACTTGAACATCTCCCAGCCCCAATGCCGGTAGATGTCGTCTCCGGTGATGCGGTACATGTAGAAGAGGGATTCGACGGTCTCTGGGCGTTGGAGGTTGTGGCGGTCTTGTTTGTGGATGTTGAGGTCATCGCGCCATTTGGTGGAGTAGTCGGTGACGGGGTAAATGGATTTGGAAAGGAGGGGGAGTTCGCCAGAGGCTTTTTGCTGGCCTGAGCTGGGGTTGGCAATCGTCGAGTCTGGGTACATGTCTGTCTCCATAACACGAGGGTCGTCTACATTGAAGTAGGTGATCTCTGGTGCGAGGCCGGTCTTCGTGATTAGGTACGTTGCCCAGCAGGTCTTGGTTAGTTCTCGGGCGAGGAGAATCTCTTCCTCCTGGCGTTGGCCCCAGTCGGGTGACTGTCTTGCCTCGGAAAGAGGACGCCCGCCGGTTGCTGCGAGGGCGATTGTGCCGGGGTAGAAGCAGACTAGGTGGTCCATCTTGGGGGAAAGGACTCCGTGCAGCCCGGCAGGTCGTTCGCCCAGGACGGTCAATTTGGCATTCTGTGTGTAGGTGATTAGGTGCTTGCGCACGCCAACGAGGGACTCGTCCCACATGTCCTTGTAGATCGGTTCAGTCTCCTTCGTTTGAAGGTACTGCTTGATGAGGTATTCTAGAAGACATCAGTCAGCGCATTAGAATTAACGCATGGAATCGGCTGGATATATACCGTAGTACGAGTCGCCTCTGCTACCGAGACGGATGTTATCGCCTTTAAACTCGCCGGTCTCTGGATATACGTAGATCGGAAGCAATCCGTCTTCCATCTTCTGGTCGTCCACGACCTCCATGACCTTCTCCACAGCCTGCCAGTACTCGGCCTCGCCCGTCAGCTTGGCCAAGTACTTGAACTCCAGCTGGAGAGTAGTTGCTTCGGCAGTAGATGAGGCGCCATTATCCGCATACGAAGGGAGGCCCTCCGATTTGTTGAGATTGATACTTGCATACGGAATTCCCGTACCGGATTCAAAGGCGCCTAATAGACGATCTGCCAGATCGGTAGCCTTCTCGATATATAAGTCTTCTCCCGGCGCGCCTGTATCGTCATCCGTGAGCGGAGCCAGCTCGGGGTAGTTCGTGGAGAGATAGTGTGCGGAAAGTAAGCCTCCCAGCATGCGAATGGTAGTCTCGAAGGTATTCACATCGTGGTCCTGGTTGTATTGCAACGAGTTGTGAATCCAGCTGCGGGCATGTTGCACTCGGGACGTCAGGTTCATAATCATCAACGTGTCCAGCGCATCAACAATTATCCACCCCATTCCTCCTTCAATCATGTGTCGGCCGTTTTTGGCGATAGGGTGGTATTCATCGTAACCTAATCACCAGCAGACAAAGCCATTGTCAGTCACCACATCCAAGAAGCAGAGATTATTTCCATTCAAAAACATACCCCACGCATGAGCTGCATAACCATCCCAACTGACAATGAAGACGTCGCGGACTTTCTCCCTCCTTGCTTCCCAGTCAATTTTCTCTGTCACCGCACTGCCATCGTATGGTGGTTCCGACTCCTCAAAACTTTGCACCCACTTCCAGAGCTCGGCGCCCTTCTCCGCGTCCGGTGTCTTCCATTCCGGCTGACCAGAGCCAGAGTAGTACCAGAGAGCGAGCAGAACAAACAGACATAGTCCGCTATATATGATCTTCCGCCGCCTGGCTCTCGGACCGGTGCGTCGTGGTGCGAAGTAGGGTTTGTCCTTGTACATGGGGAGAGTGCGGTCGCCGGCGAGGGGATTGTTCAGGGAGTTGGAGATACCAGTCGGTGGCGAAAACCCATAGCCAGGCAGCCCGTTGGTCCCAGGGCTTCGACTAGCACGCCAGTAGTTATTCTGGAACGGTTGCTGAGACGAAAATGGAGAACTGTTCCGAGGGGCCTGGAAAGACATGACCACCACCGCCAAGCTTCTACTACTATATCTGTCCTCTACCGAAGGAGGACCACACCTCCGATGCGCTCTAAGTCCGAGACAATATGTGGCCTGTCGGATTTATTCGCATAGGTTCAGTGTCTTGTCTCGGATTGAGGCTGGTGCTCAGGCAAGGACGTCTGGTTACAGGATACGTCGTTCGTTCGTAGGTAGGTAAATAGGTAGTCTGGGGTAAGCCCCAAAAGTAGTAGTCAGTATCGCGGCAAGACTATAGTTAACGGGGCGAACGGTTTTAGATCTAGTAGGAAATATGAGAGGACCATTCAACGGTTAGCCAAAGAAGCACTGTGAAATGCTGCAGCGATAGTGAGCTCCCAGGAGTAAATGGCAAGATTACCGATAAAGTTAGCAGGCCCCCGATTGAACCAAGCATTTGATCTCTTTGCGATTTAAGATGACCGGTCGCAAGTTGGGTCTGTTGATCTCCGCGGACTGTCTCCCGATGCACACTAATAGGCCATCGATGGTTCCTGGACAGTAAGATACTGAACAGGTGTCAACTATTCTGAGAAGATGTTTCGGCGCCTAGGGAAACTGATTCGAGCATTACATAAAAGTGAGGACAGCCATTCCGATGGACGCGTGTAAAGCCCATGTGGCGCCTAGCTCAACTTGTCCTCAGCGCATGGATGCCGATCCTTGGTCGCGGCCTTGGCGACGAACGGGCGGCATATTCACAGTATCTGGAGAGGAAGCCATCATCGTCATCAACACTGGTACTCAAGCTCGATTGTCAGTTACAACCCATGGCAGACATGTTTACCCGGTCAGGGTCCAATGCTCGGGTCCATGCACCTTCTTTGCCTAGTTTGTGGGGAAATGTCCCATGTGATTAATCGGGCTACCACTTAAACTGTACCTACTACTTTAAGTACAAGGCTGCAAACTGCACGGCATCATCACTGCATGGATTGTGTACATTAGATGAGCATAAGCAGATTGGGGGTTTGGCTTCCCATAAGTTGGAAATAATAGCTTTCTACATCATGGCTAATTCTCAGGTATTCAATCAAGCGGGAACTACAACTTCTGGTATTCCAGCTTGCCCTCCAGCTTCTTCGCCTCAGCCACCTTGCGGACCGCTCTGTTGAAGTCATCCTGGTTGATCGCATCCCGGTAATCCTTGATAGCAAATAGACCACTGTATCTCCATGTTAGTGTTCTTCATGTAAAAGACAAAAGGCAGAGCAATGATGAATGAGAGACATACGCTTCCGTAACAACGTTGCGAAGATCAGCACCGTTAAGTCCGTCGCTCATCTTCACCACACTTTCGAAGTCGATCTCACCATCCAGTTGAACGGTGCTGGAGTGGATCTTCAAGATCTCCAGACGACCGACCTCGTTGGGCAGGGGAATCTCGATCTTGCGGTCGAGACGACCGGCTCGCAGCAGAGCCGGGTCAAGCGTGTCGGGCCGATTCGTAGCCATAATGATCTTCGTCTTTCCAAGGTAATCGAAACCATCCAGCTGGTTGAGAAGCTCCATCAGTGTACGCTGGATTTCTCGATCAGCCGAGGTACCCTCCGAGAAACGCCTTCCACCGATAGCGTCGATTTCGTCCATGAAGATAATGCAAGGCTCGTGTTCTTTGGCGTATCCGAACATCTCTCTTATTAACCGTGCAGATTCACCGATGTACTTGTCGACAATAGCGGACGAGACAACTAGGACAGAGTTAGCGATCTAGGCCTACCTACGCCCGCGCCCGGAACTAGAGATGTATACCTTTCAGGAAGTTGGTCTCCATTGAGCTTGCCACTGCTCGTGCCAACAGCGTCTTTCCGGTACCGGGAGGACCGTAGAGGAGCACACCCTTGGGCGGCTTGATTCCTACTCTCTGGAAAAGCTCGGGGTTCTTGAGCGGCAACTCAATGACTTCTCGAAGCTCGCGGATCTGTTCGTTCAGACCACCAATTCCTGCAAAGTTGATCTGGCCTGGGTCCTCCAGTGACATGTTGTATACCAACGGATCGACCTCTCTCGGGAGCATTCGCATTATAGTAAGTGTGGTCATATCGAGGGCGACACGGGTACCCTGCTTCAGCTTTGCTTTATCGACCTTCGAGCGGCAACCGACGACATAACGCGGTCCGGATGATGCCTTGACAATGACTGAAACGGGTCAGCTCACATACCGGTAGAAAGAGTAGCATATGTTGGACGTGTTTCTGCCCGGGAATAAATGGTATAGGGATGAGAAGTCGAGATGAACTTACATCTCTCCTCATCCAGCTGCTTCAACACTTCTCCGATGATCTGGCCGACACTTTGCAGCGCCTTGATGTTCTCTTCAGAGATGTCGAACTCTCGTTGCAAATCCTTGATTCCCATGCGAAGAGACTTGAGCTTGGCTTCCCATTCTCGGAGCTCAAACAGGCTCCTCTTGTAATCCTCGAGCGCCTGCTCTCTCTCCGGATCGCTGGCGCCGTTCATGATGTAAGGCAATCAGGGAGACCGAAAAGCAGGGCGAAGTCGAAACAGCAAAATCCCCGGGGGTCTTTAGAAAACAAGGTAACGACCCGGGAGGGTGAATATGCAGATGGATTGATAAGGGATGGGCTGGTTGACGGTACTTGGTCTTACTGCATCCAGCTCGGCGAGCTGTCGAGGAGCTCACAGCAGCCACCAGCTCACAGTGATCACATGACGCTGGCTCATTGACAATGACATAATCACCAATGTATGCCTGTATTTATGCCTGAATAGTTAGGCTGCAGGAAGATAAGGCCAACAATCTATCACTTGTCGGAGTATCTATTATCCGGGGTAACCTCTCAGGCACCAAGGTGTCTATGTCTTAGTCCATTTGCCGCGGGCATTTTCGTCATTACGCAATGGAAGTTTCCAGACAAGAAAGCGCTGGATGTTTTCCCACCCATTGAGGGGCAGGTGGAAGATGCTCTCTCAACGTATGAGATAGATCATAATTGATATGATTGGTAGTACTCTGACTCACTCAATTGGTCCTGGAGGATTTACAGAAAGTTCAAGCTACTACTACCTGTAATGGAGGGGTAGTAGGTGCGTATTGTTGTTGTGTGGAAAAGGAGGGGCTATTGCGCCTACAGGTGACAGGATGCATCTGCGATCCGTACCATAAGCATCATACTTTCTATTACCTTTAGCCGTGACCCAGGTCGGGAAGAAGACATGGAAAAGAGGAGCCATGGAGCCTTGTCAGTTCGTCAACCCCGTCCTCAGCAGCAACACCCGCCTTACCCCGAGGGAATGCGGAAGATCTCGCTGGGGAGGGTAGCAGTTTGAGAGTCTAGAGACAGCTTCAGCCAGCGAGAGCAGCGACTGATGCTGTCTGCCCCACCATTCCCTTGGAAAGATTCGGAGGACGAGACCGTGAGCTTTCCCGGGGCACGCCTTTTGGGGGTGGGAAAGCTTACAAGAAGTAGCCTGCCTGTAACAGTCTGTTGTCGTGTTTATTATTTATCTACTACTTCCCCCTCCTCCTCCCCTCCTCTTGTGTTAGAGTACTCTCAAGAAAGCTCTTTCCTTACTTAGTACAACCTTCATCCTCAAGGTCCTGTAAGTATTACTTGTCTACCCCATACTCATACTCATCATCATCAACATCAACATCACTCCTATTATCTCTCTCCCATGCCCATTTCCTCCTGTTCTTCCAACTTCTCTAAGCTGGGGGTCATGACCCCGCCATCATCCCACCATGTTGTTGTGCTTCACCCCTCCATCCATACATCCTCCTGTCTATATGCCCATCATTCCATCTTGTCTGTCTATCAAATGATCTGGCATGTCCGGATTTAGCACCAATCCCATTGATGAGATGATCGTTTGGGAAACTTGGGCTGTGCCGAGCCTGGTCTATTCGATGGATCGGACCTCTCCACCTCTCCCCTTCCCCCCCCTCCCCGTCCTTCCCTTCTCCGTCACTCATCCGCCATCCGCTCATTCTTTTTGGGTCCTCGGTGAACACTCACCACCCTCCCCCCGCTGCTACTAGTGCACACCGAAACAGCAAGTCCGGAGCGCTTACATTTTTGCCTCCTCCGTTTTTCCCTTATATCTGGGCCTTGTTCTCTCTTTGCCATCTTCGTTTCCTTTCAGTTTCACTGATCCAGAACTCTCCTCCCCCCAGTCCATCAACATGCCTATCTCTAAGATCCACGCCCGCTCCGTCTACGACTCCCGCGGTAACCCCACCGTCGAGGTTGACGTTGTCACCGAGACTGGTCTTCACCGTGCCATTGTCCCCTCTGGTGCTTCCACTGGTTAGTAGTCAACAAGCAATCAAGGACCTTGTTGTCCTCCAGCTCTACATTGGACATGCTGACAGTCAATATCCAGGCCAGCACGAGGCTCACGAGCTCCGCGATGGCGACAAGACCATGTGGGGTGGCAAGGGTAAGTTCAGAGCATCCTTCTCTGCATCCTTGGTGTAATCAATTCCATCCAGCTGACATCCACTGCTTGACTTAGGTGTCCTGAAGGCCGTCAAGAACGTCAACGAGACCATTGCCCCCGCCGTCATCAAGGAGAACCTCGATGTTAAGGACCAGTCCAAGGTTGATGAGTTCCTCAACAAGCTCGATGGTACTGCCAACAAGTCCAACCTCGGTGCCAACGCCATCCTTGGTGTCAGTCTGGCCATCGCCAAGGCCGGTGCCGCTGAGAAGGGCATCCCTCTCTACGCTCACATCTCCGACCTTGCTGGTACCAAGAAGCCCTACGTCCTCCCCGTTCCCTTCCAGAACGTCCTGAACGGTGGTTCCCACGCTGGTGGCCGCCTGGCTTTCCAGGAGTTCATGATCGTCCCCAAGTAAGTTGCAGCTGACATGCCACTCACAAAGTAGATCGCATCACTAACCAGCATGTAGCACTGCCTCTTCCTTCTCTGAGGGTCTCCGCCAGGGTGCTGAGGTCTACCAGAAGCTCAAGGCTCTTGCCAAGAAGAAGTACGGCCAGTCCGCTGGCAACGTTGGTGACGAGGGTGGTGTCGCCCCCGACATCCAGACTGCCGAGGAGGCTCTTGACCTGATCACCGAGTCCATCGAGCAGGCCGGTTACACTGGCAAGATCAGCATTGCCATGGACGTTGCCTCCAGCGAGTTCTACAAGGCCGACGTCAAGAAGTACGACCTTGACTTCAAGAACCCTGAGAGCGACTCCTCCAAGTGGCTCACCTACGAGCAGCTGGCCGACCTCTACAAGTCCCTTGCCAGCAAGTACCCCATTGTCAGCATTGAGGACCCCTTCGCTGAGGACGACTGGGAGGCCTGGAGCTACTTCTACAAGACCTCTGACTTCCAGATTGTCGGGTACGTACTCCTCTCAATGCAACCTCCCCGTTAGAGTTGTTCGTCGCTAACTGATTATTTCTATAGTGATGACTTGACTGTCACCAACCCCCTGCGTATCAAGAAGGCCATTGAGCTCAAGTCTTGCAACGCTCTCCTGCTCAAGGTCAACCAGATCGGTACCCTTACCGAGTCTATCCAGGCTGCCAAGGACTCCTACGCTGACAACTGGGGTGTCATGGTCTCCCACCGCTCCGGTGAGACCGAGGATGTCACCATTGCCGACATTGCTGTCGGTCTGCGCTCTGGCCAGATCAAGACCGGTGCTCCTGCCCGTTCCGAGCGTCTGGCTAAGCTGAACCAGATCCTCCGTATCGAGGAGGAGCTCGGTGACAACGCCGTCTACGCCGGCGAGAAGTTCCGCACTGCCGTTAACCTGTAAATGCAGCCATTTTCCGTATAATGTCACCCAGTGCAAGACCCTAGCGGTCCCCACTAGCCCTTCCCAGCGGCTGCAGAACAACATCGTTGGGATGGAACTAGGCGGCGAAAACATCAGAGATGATTAAGATTTATGATGACGAATTCAAAGGCCAAATAATTGAATTTAGTGGCACATAATGAAAAAATATTTCTTTTCACCCTTCAATATAGAGAGTTCCTATTGTTTCCCCCAAGTTCAATGTAAGTACATAGTAAGATTGGGCATCACGGGCAATCCCGCGTTCACGTGACCATGCCGCATGCCCCACGGGATCAGCCACTCGGTCGTTCAAACAAATTCCCTCCTCCAGCAGTACCTCGTCAACGACACCAGTTCCTCTGCGTGAGACTTACGCTTATCACCGGCTTCACTGCCAGCCACGCAACTCACTTTCCAGCTTGTCATTTTCGCCCCAAACTTGACGACTTTTGCCCGCCATGGCTCCTTCAAAGTGGGGTATGTCCTCTTTTGGATTTTTGTGGCCCTCGCCCGCCATAGGAATATACATTGCGGGACAACATGGCAAGCCATTCACGATACTGACGGCTTCATTCAGATGACGAAGAGGAGAGTGTCTCTCCCCCTCCTGTGGTTGCCCGCCGCAAGTTCGACGATGAGGAAGAGGAGGATGTAAGTTTTTTTGCCGCCCCTCCCCCTCCCTGTCCATTTTTGCCTCACAATCTGCCCCGCGCCGTCTCTCTCAGCCTTAGTCGTGGAAATAATCCCCCACCACCTTTTCCCCCACAATCTGACTGAATGAACTAGGTTCTCGACTCCTGGGACGCCGCCGAAGATTCCGAAGTAGAGCGCGAGAAGGCCGCTAAGGCAGCGGAGGCCAAGGCCAAGGCCGAAGCCGAAGCCGCCGCCAACAAGAAGAGCAAGGCACAGCGGATACAGGAAAAGAAGGCCCAGCGGAAGGCAGATGCCGATGCTGAGACTTCGGACGACAGCGATGAGGACGAGGCCGAGCGGAGAGCCCGTCTCCGCAAGACCGAGAAGGATGCTGACCTCAAGCACGCCGAGGACCTCTTCGGTGACATCGACCTGAACCGTATGCGCAACCGCAGCGCCCCCAAGGCCGTGGTCATCAGTGACTCGGCCGACCCGACCCAGGCCGTCGATCTCTCGGCTATGCCTCTTTTCAAGCCCGCCACCAAGGACCAGTTCACCCGCGTCACTACCACCCTTATCCCTCTGTTGACCACTCAGTCGAAGAAGCCCCAGTATGCTCTGTGGGCGCAGGACTTCATCAAGCAGCTCGTCAAGGACCTGCCCAGTGGTGATGTCAAGAAGATCGCTTCCTCCCTGACTACCCTCAGCAACGAGAAGATGAAGGAGGAGCGTGCTGCCGATAAGGGTAACAAGAAGACCAAGGCGGCCAAGACCAAGGTCTCCCTGGTCACTTCCAGAGAGAACCGGATTGAAACCAACTCTTATGATGATGATGGGTTGGATGACGATGACTTCATGTGATTTTGTTATTTAGAACATTTATATTTCCTTTTTCTTTTTTTCTTCTTAACCACCAAACCAATCCCCTTAACTTACTTGCCTTCATTTGCTTTTAGTTTCGTGTCTATTATTCTTTCTATGCTCTTCTCAGTTATCCACTCTATATCTTTGCTAGACCGGCTTGCGCCCTGACATGCATCATATAAAACCATGTCCATTCATCCTCTGTTTTGTATATCCGTCATATAAGATTGTCCCTTTTCTTTTTTTTTTTACTTATTTTTCGCTACTCGGCTTCCTATACGGTTTATAGAGCATGGCTCATCTCTCCCGGCATATTCGTTGGTAGCATATATATTTCCAGCTAGTATAGAAGCTGTCGCAGTTGTTCGATTACTAAGTCTATGGCTCTCTTACTAACTATAAAATGTTCATCTTGGGACGTAGTGTTAACGAGTACTAGGAGGTGATGAGGTAATATATGTTCTGTAGGGGCAGTGGGTGGCAGTGGCAGTAAGTGTGCAAGGCGGCTATTTATCTTTACGGCGGTAATAAAGACTTCCAACGGTGGTAGCAGTAATGGGATCGCGGCTCTTGAGAAGGATACAGAATCTAGCAGTCATTCGATGATAAATTGATTCCCGTTAAGGTATCGGGTCATGGGATTGAGAGAACTGGTTACTTTGATTTGAGATATTGTAAAGCTTAAGGCTCTTAACACGTACGAGCGAAACAGCAGGGGGAAATCGGGAAAAGGGGCGTGGGGTGAATAAAAAAGTTGGAAATAAGACACTGTATCTTGCTGGGGGTGAATAAAGAGAGAATAAAAGAGAGGTAAATTCCACTCAGCCCCTTTTCTTCGCTCTCCAAACATCAAACTCCGCCGGCCGACCCACAGGATCCCGAACAAGTGGAAGATATGTGCCGGTCCAGACCCTTCGCACAGCTAAAAGCAGACCTTCATAAGCGTTTCCGGGTAGTATTCGCACACCTGAACTGGCACGTCGGGGACACAACTGTTTTTGATACACAAGAACACACACCACCCCTCTAGGACTCAGGGGCAGCGGGCTTGGGCTCCTCGGCCTTGTCCTCGGGGGCGGCGGCGGTCTCCTCCTCGGGCTTGTCCTCCTTGGGGGCAGCACCCTCGGCCTCGTTGCCATCAGAAGAGGTCCACAGAGTGAGGTTGTCACGCAGGAGCTGCATGATCAGAGTGCTGTCACGGTAGCTCTCCTCCGAAAGCGAGTCGAGCTCCGCAATGGCGTCATCGAACGCCTGCTTGGCAAGGTGGCAGGCACGATCGGGGGAGTTCAGGATCTCGTAGTAGAAGACGGAGAAGTTCAGGGCGAGACCAAGGCGGATGGGGTGGGTAGGGGTAAGGTCAGTCTGGGCGACATCGGTAGCGTTCTGTATGATTGTTAGTGCGAGTCCTCCGATATAGCACGCAATTCAAAGAGCTCACCTTGTAAGCCTCGTGGGCGGCGGTGGCAGCGACCTTGCGCTTGTTGCCAGAGGCAAACTCAGCGAGGTAGCGGTGGTAGTCACCCTTCCTATAGTTCGTACAACAGTCAGCCTCTGCTCTCTTTATACCTGCCAGTAAATGCTCGTTCCCTAATCCAAGACTCACATCTTGTAGTAGAAGACCTTGGACTCGCCAGTCTCGGCCTTGGGGATAAGGGACTCATCCAGAACGTCGAGGACATCCTGGCAGACCCTCTCGAGCTCGGTCTCGATCTTCTGGCGGTAGTCACGGATGATCGAGACGTGCTGCTCAGAGCCCTTGGACTCCTCCTTCTGCTCAATGGAGGAGATGATACGCCACGAGGCACGGCGGGTACCGACCACGTTCTTGTAAGCAACGGAGAGAAGGTTACGCTCATCGACGGAAAGCTCGCCTCCAATCTGATGCGGGGTCAGCTTGACCCACGGGTAAAAGGGGGTTACGGGGGGAAAAGGGGGGAGCTTCTCGTCAGAAGGAGGTAAGGGGGGTCATACGTTGGCGACTTCCTGCACAAGAGTTAGCGATTATGCTTGTTAAGAGCCCAGGGGCTGACAGGCGGCTACTGACCTTCATGTACGTGACCATCTCTATAGGCGGTAGGGATCAGCATGTGAAGCCAACATGGCAGAGCAGTAAACGGGCATCTTACCATCGTAGCGCTCAGCCTGCTCACAGAGCCGGGCGAGGAACGTCTTGCTGCAGAAGGGTGTAGTGTCAGTGTTGCTGTTGTCGGGTCACTGGTCGAGACGGGTCTGGATCCTTACTTCTCACGCTGCAAGTAAAGGGGGGGAAGAACAGTTAGCTGAGTCCAGACTAATCGCGACGCAACAACTGAGAAAACACAAGAGAATTTCCCGACATAGGAATACATGCGGCTAGGGATTAAACGGACTGCAACTGGACGGACGCCAGTTGAAGCCGCCAGAGCAGAGAGAGGGGTCAGGCTGAGGGGGTGGAATAACATACCTCAGAAGTCATAGTAGGCGATCTGATGGAGATAAGGGGATTGGGAAAGACGGTGGTTGGTTTGGTAGAGGGTGAAAAGGAGAGAGTAGAGGTGCAAGATACCGAAGTAGAGCACGAGACAACGGAGAATGGGATGAAAAGAAGATGGGAATCACGAGAGGTTTGGCAGATGTGATCCTCCAGCAACGAGTGATGGACGGTGAAGGTGACGACCAGCCAGCTTTAGCGAGAAGCGGGCGCCTCGTCTGTTTGCGATGTTTGCTCTGGCAGCCTCAGGCAGTGTCATGGTGAGTCAGCAAGCAAATCTCCTGCTGGTCACCTGCTTCCGCCGGTCACTGGACCCTGACGTAATCTAACAATAATCACTCCGGGTTTGAAAGCCAACTAGGCAATTAATGGTTAGTGCCTCCTTAGTTGAGCGGTCGCTCTCAATTATTAGTGAAAGGCTCCCAATTATGCGGCATAGTAACATCCTAACATCCCCCAAACGGGGAGGGAATTATAGTAGCATAGTAGGAGCTGTAAATAGAGATCTTCAGAAATTCATGGCCGGAATCGACTGAGGCAGCCATGAATACTTCAAGAGCCTGGGTGCAAGAGTTGAAAACCATAAGAGGGCGGCTAATGATACCAGTTCATGTGGGAGATAGATCATACTCATTTTCCCCTTGAGTTGAACCATCATGCTCTTCCGTTCATCAGAACCAGCATCGCTCTGGTCCCCTTTGTCTTTTTAACTGCCAAGTTCGTCCTATTCTGCCGGTTATTCTCTACCGCACAACCGGTGAAGATGTTATACGTCGCGCTTCTCCACCCTCAACGGGCTGTGGTACCCTGAGCTGTGCTCCATATCTCCGATGATCGTCTATTCAGAACCGCACGAGACGAAAAAAAAAAAAAGATGTTGAGAGCCCGGCAGATGACAAGTTCACCGGTTATTGCCCGATTAAAAAGGAAACCCTTTATTTACTATCCCTTTTAGGCTGACCGTGCTTTTGGCCATGCAAACTAAAAGACAACTATGGGTTCTCCTACTACTAAATACACCCTTCCTGAGCGGAGATTACGCAGGACTGCAACAACCACCGAAACAGGCGGGCTGCTGAGTCAAGACATTGGGGTTTCAGGAGGAGAATCCCCAATACAACGATAGATGGTATGAAATGATGAAATCACCTTCTGGAGCAGTGTGGACGGGCCCTCTGCCCTACAGGGCGTCTACAAGGGCCGGACTAGGCAAGCTGTCGTACCGTTTGGTGTGGATGGGTGGAAGATCGATGACTTGTTTGGGGCAGGTGCTCTGGGTCCGACACCATGGCGGAAAGCACGGAATCGAATCAAAATCTACGAGACACAAGAGGCCTCCACCGGTGTTATGCAGCACCTTCCAATCCGAGGAGTGAGACCCCGCTAAATGGGCGCCAAATGAACCAGGATGACTGCGAATTGTATGGGACGAGTGGTTTTAGTTCGAGTCTTGGGGTCAGCCAGGAAGGCATCATCGTTTCGCAGTGGAGAGTGTATGGTATTGTTATGGCCGAGCGGTGGGTTTCTCGCTTGCAGAGAGAGAGAAGAAAAAGAGAGAATTGAGGGAGATAACGCCGAGAATGAAAATGGATACGTAGGAAGATTATTTAGAACTATTAAGAAGGCTGTGCAATGTTGGGGGGAGAATGCGTCCCTTTTTTAATTTCTTTTCTTTTTTTTCTTCACCCTTTTTTTTCCTAATTGATCAGTTATGTTCTTCAGCCTAGTTATTTTTCATGAACTTTTATGAACACGAAAGATAACAGACACACAGCTATAGAACCTTTGTAGGAAGATGAGTGTAATAATCCAGTCGTAAAGACTACTAAACAGGCCAAGTGACTCCAACGCCCGGACTCACAGAAGCACGGTCATGGTATGGTTCAGCCCTGTCGGATTGGAACCGGCAATTCTGGCGCAGCGACGGGGGGGACCAGATAGATCCAGACACCGCAAATGAAGAGAACACGTTGAGTGCCTGACAAAGCCGCCTCTTGGTTCACGGTTCCCGAGCCCCCAAGAGGCAAAATCCCTGGCCCATCATTCGGTCCTTGTATGGAATGGGGAATTTATTTATAAATTATAAATCAGCAGTTTTTGCCATCCTCTTGAGAAAACCACAAGACACCAAGAGAATACCCTGTTTTTATTTATTTTCTTTCTTACTTTACTTCATTTCCTTCCTTCCCTCCTTGGCTGACGGTATCTGGTGTATTGATTGGTCTTGCCCGGTATTATTAACAACGGTACTATCTGGTGTGTCCGCTTTCCGCTTCCCATCCTAACCTACTATCTATCTACTACTCTTCTAGATCCTTCCCGCTAAGGGACTAACCTCTCCGACTTGATTGCAGTGCCACTCACTAGGTCCCAAGCTTCCGGCCACTTGGCGTTCATGTCTTGATCTGGGTTATATCCCCGGTCTCTTCCCTTCCTTTTCTCTCTCTTCTCTGTTGTTCCCGCTCCAGGCCACCTTGCGCTTTTTCGGGGTCCCAACAACATGGAGCACTCCTACCTCTATTCCCCA